ATTTATTTATTTATTTATTTATTTATTTATTTATTTATTTATTTATTTTCACGTTTTGCTCAGCAGTTACCATATTAACAATTGATAAAAGTTGCAGTCTGACCATCTGAAATTGCACAGTACAGCTTTAAGAGGGCTTCCCTCATACCCTCCAGTTCTCTACTAAAGAAGCCTCAGAATTATTTATGTTTAATCCACCTGTTATCCTTTGAAATTTCTTTGAGAAATACAGCAGAAGCTGCAGCCTCGTGTGTATGTTTCTTGAGGTTCGAGCTTTGATGGCAGGGAACACAGATGATTTAAACATATATGCAAAAAGAAAAAGGCTGCAGCTGGTGCACTCAGACTCATTATGAGCGTGGCTATTCCCATTCTGAAACACATGGTTATTTTATACACTCCCTGACAGACCCCATCCATTAGGACTGCAGTCTTTAATCCATTCAGTGATCAGTAATTTCATTCATGCAGACCGGTAGGGTTTAATGGGTAAGTATGTTTGTGTGCTTCATCCATTTCTGCCKTTTGTCTTTTGTGTATCCAGTTATCTGTTTCTCGTTTTCTCTTGTGTACATGGCTCTCCTCCGAAGGCAGGGCTCCATGTGCTTGCCTCTGATTGGTTGCAGAGTAAAAAGGTGATGTCATTCCTAGTCGGGAGGTGTGTTGCTCTTCGTATGCGCCGAGGAGAGAGGATTGAGGGTAGAGATCCCGATTCAGAGCGGCAAGCAAAAAGAGTAAAAATAGTAGCATGGAAAGATAATGAGGTGGATATTATAGAAGGATGGGAAAAAATACACAAATGCTGGGGAATTGAAGTTAGACGGTGAGACATAGACAAACACAATGAGGATTTATTGAAGATGAAAATGTTTGGAGAGTTTTTACTCCATTCAGATTAGCTCTATTACTCTGATAATCATCCTTTCAAACAAACAGGCTGCTTGTATTGTCCCTGTTTTGAATTAGTTTCTCCTCCTCCTCTCTGTTACCTGTATTGTCTCAGAGTCATAAATGTTACAATGTTCATGATRGAAGCAGTGGTGCAACATGGTGCAGGAAGAGCAGGAAAATAAACTGATACTTTGCCACATAAAATCAGTTAAGAGTTAAATTTTGTTGTAGCAGAAATCCTCCTGACAGGTGACTAAATATCTTATTTTAATGGGATTGTATCCTCAAAGTTTTCACCTCTGGTTGATCAGCGTACTTGTATCACATGTTTTATGAGCAGCACTTTTTACATTAAGTGCTGCTAAACGATCAGCCGCTGAAGGACTTAGCAACTTTTAATGATGTTCCTWTGTGTTGGTCAGATGATTGTAAAAGTTAACACAGACTGAGCTGGAATGATCATAAGACGGACTGTAATTGGGAAAGAGGGCTGTAGCAAATCTCCAAAATACTTTAAAAGGCCATTTATTAAAAGAGTAGTTGCTTAAGGCCATTTTAATAGATTAAAATGAAATATGGCTCCTTGGAAGTGACACATTCTAATTATAGATTTATTAAGTTCACTTGTGTAGTTTGTTTATTTAATTTTAATTATTTGGATTTGCCATGTCCTGGATAACTGGAAATCTACGAAAGCATTTCATATAAGCTTATAAAATATAAAAATAAACTTATCTTCAAAGTTAAGTCAGTCTAACTTTCTTCAGCAGCATCCGGCATCTGGGSCTTTGAGTGGAAGAAACCTGACTCTGGATTATTTGTAGTTCTTGTCAAACCCAGGTCTGCTTCAAATCATTTACAGCTACAATCTGCTCGACCTAACATGTTTAATAGCTGCRGGTTTTGTCCATGAATGCTCTGAATTAGAGCTACTAACTCCACGTGTGATTAATGTGTTTTTTTACGCCAAATTCCATCTTGTGCATTGCAAATCTTCCATGGCAGATTTCATTCTGCATCATAGCAGCAGCGTCTGTCCTTGTATCTCATAGGGGGCTCTTTGATTTATATACCCTACCCCCTCCCTTCATTTTTTGTAATTTATGCTGCATGCTCACAAAGGGGAGGGGATCGCTTCAATATACTGGGCTTTATGTTACCAAACGATCAATAAAGATGTTCCCTTGCTGTCCCCTCTATCTCTATCTCTCCCATTCTTCCTTCTCTGTCCATCTGCATCTGCTCAGCAGCCAATCCACTTAATGCAGTTTCCCTCGCTGCRCGCCTCGTTTGAGCCACCTCCCCGAGCCCATCTCTCTTTCCCGCCCTCCCGCGCTGCACAGGTGATGTCATTCTTTTTCAGCTGGATTCCCCTCCCTTCTCCTTCCTCTCCTCRCTCCCACTCTCTCCTCTTGCTTCCCATTAGCGGCTGACTCTCCACAGTGCAGCATCCATTCCACAGCAGCTTCCCTCCAAGGTTGGGAGGGGGGGAGAAGGCATGCCGGTGTGAGGTGCGAGCGCTAACTTAGGGATGAGACCCTAAAGCTGGACTACAGCAGCAGGATCTCTGCCCCTTTGCCATGGAGGTGAACTGCAGGAGCTTTATAAAGMGATAAAGAGTTGCAAACATACAGAGTTTGGTGGCTGCAGCGTGTATGAAGAGGATATTTCAAGCTCTTTGGGAGCGAAAGAGGACTGTTTGGATGACTTGAAACCCCTCAAGAAGCTTCATCCCTTGGGGCTGCAGATGCACAGACAAGCCTCAGTTTTTTTATATACAGTATTTTAAACCAGTGGGATTTTTTGGCTTTTTGATGAAGTAAACTGAATCTTCAAGAGGATAAAATTAAGTTCGTGAGCTTTTTCAGTGAATTTTCAGCAGATGAGCTCAACTTAATTTGTATTTTTTTTAACCTTGCAGCATGTTTCTTTTTTGGATTTAGCTGCAATTTTTTTTTGCTGAATTTCTTTTCTATTTGAGTGCCCTAAACTTCATTGTTTWAGTAAAGGACAAAAAGCTTTTATGATTGGATCTGTCTTGACTTAAAGCCTCCTTCCCTAGTGACATGTTGCTGTTGCTAAGCTGATATTTCTGTCTTTTTGCACCAAAGTAAAACAGAATATTTTTGTTTGAACCAGCTTCCAGAAGAACTCTCCACTTGCAGCAAAGGGAGTTGCATCAGTCGTCAACCTCTTTTCTCTCTTACTTATTTCTATTTTTTTCCTTCATTTCTTGTCGAACGAGGGGAAACTTCCCTCTCTGGCACCCTCCCTCCTGTAGAAATGGCTTTCCTGGTCCGTTGCTATGCCAACTGCTTGCAGCCGTGGTCCTCCAAAGTAAGCAATGTCGTAATCCCTTTTTCTGGCTAGGATACCACCACCTCTGTGATTGTGTGCGTGTCTGTGTGTGTGTTGTACAGATCAAGTGATAAAGGGTTGGGATCAGAGAAAAAGATCTTTATTCATGTGCAGGTCGTGTATTTTGTTTGAAGACAAATGAATGCTGTTGTTTTGTTTTAATATTAAAACATGAAGCAACCGGTTTTGTGCAGACGTCATTTCTAGAATCTTTACTTTCTGAAGAAATAGATTTGAACATGAAAAAAGCACAAGAAGAATAAAACTTTATCTCTCTGATTCTGTATGTAAATAAAGAGCTGTAATGTCTTGTAGCAGATTTTATTTGGTCTTGCATTCATGTTTTATTATTTTCAGCAGCTGCAGCTGCAATACTTCWTATTCTCCAACTCTCCACAGTGATTTAAAGGTTTCCAAAAATAATAATCGGTAGTCTCTGTGCTCTGCTTCTGTGGCTGTAAATCCTGATTTTGTCTTCTGTGTTACCAGTATCAGAATAAAATGTTTAAATCCTGCAGCTGAGGTCACAAACCATAGATTAACTGTTAAGCTATACATTTAATCCATCTCAACTACCTTTTGGCTCCCAATAGTCAAAAGCAAAYGGGTAATGATGTAGCCATGTGTATAATTAACAGTTTGAAGGCCTAGTTTCAGTTTCCYAAAATAATCTTTCAGAATTATCCTCGGGTGAACCTTGGGATGATGCAAGGAAAGCTKCTCCTGTGAATAAATTGTCGCTAGCATCCATTTTTATTTTTAGGTTTCACAATGTCTTTTTGTAGGTTCTACTTTTTGGCTTAAACATGATTATTGCTAAAGGCTCTTCTAGCAAAATGAGTTTGGGGATCTCTGTGTTTCTGTCACTCTGGGAGCATCTGTCTGGGTGCTGAAAGCCTTAGAGATGTTTGTCTTTTGTGTGTGTGTGTGTGTGTGTGTGTGTGTGTGTGTGTGTGTGTGTGTGTGTGTGTGTGTGTG